AAAAATAATTTGTTGTAACTTAAAGTCATTGAGTTGGACAGCACAACAATGGTTAAAACACATACAAAAACGTAACTGTAGCTTTCTCAATAAAATCCACAAGCCAGTGAAACTGAAGTTGCCCAGAGTTCAGTTTAAGTTTCCTTATCTCTGGAAAGAGTTGCCATATGGAAACCAGGCAACCTTGCCTTTGAAGACCTTTAAGAAAGCTCAGGACACCTGTCTGTTTTCTTCAGCTTTGTGTTATATCTTGATACATTCTTAGCTGCAATTATTTTAATATTATCTGACCTGGGTCTTTGTTCAGTATTTACAGGCATTAATTTTATTGATTTTGTCATTCTGTTTTTGTATTGAATTTTAAATATGTGAGCTACTTTGAGAGACTAGTCTAAATATTGTTTAAAATAGAATAAAATGTGGGAATAGTCATCAGTCCCCATTGTCTCCTGAGGCACTACTGTTTTGTCTCTGTACTTCAGTAGTTCTAACCATATCCAGCAGTACGCTTCCATTGTAGGAACTGATGAAATCTTAAACTGCAAGCTCTTTGGGGCAAGGACTTATGCACTTAGGTGTGGTTTGTTGATGCAGGGAAACAATGGCACATTGATTGATGCTGAATAGGTAAGAGTTGCCTGAAGAGAACATTGCTGGAGAAACGGAAGGCAGTCAAGACAGACGGGAGAGAGTGAACAGGGCGGGGTGAGAGAGGAGAGGAGAGGAGAGGAGGATGGAGCAACCAGACTGGCCTGGATAGGTAGGGAAAGAATGGCAGTGGAAGAGGCTAGATCTGCAGAACTGTTGGACTTCAATTCCCAGAAACCGCTAGCTTTTACATAGCCGCTTTCCCTGTCCAGCCCTCTGTATGCACTATACTATAATTCCCATCATCCCCACCTGGCCAGTGGGATGGTGGGAGTAGTAGTCCAACAATAACTGGTGACTGTGATAGGCTGTTTGAGCCCCCCTCCCTTTCTGCCCGTATCGCAGGCAGTGGGCAGGTGGGAAAAGCCACCCTTGTTCCACTTTTGCAGATGCTTCATGACGCGAATTAAAATGTACCCTCTTTCGGTCCCGAGCCAGCTGGAACAGTTCGGCCCATCCCAGGATCCCGACTAGTGAAGTCGGTCCACTTCCTTGCGCGGCTTCCTGGCCCAGAGCAGTGCTCGCCGCCGCCAGCTCCCCTTCCCTGTCCCTTTTTCAGGTTGCTCTGGCCTCCGCTCCTTGGGGAATGGCGGTGGGACTTCTTGCCTCCTCGAAGCTGCCAAGAGGGCGAGCAAGAAGCGCACGGAGCGGTTCTCTCTGCCTCTGCGCGGAGTGGAGAGGATGCGGCCAGATTCCTCCAGGCAGCAGCTGCTTCTCGAAACGGCGCGCCTGTTCCGTGCGCGGGGACTGACCCCAAGGGCGAATGCAGCCCTTTCTCTGCGGCGCGCCCGGAAGCGCCTTTCCCGGGCCGGGACCCTCCAAGCGCGTCGCTAGCACAGCTCGCAGGGGCGGGGGACAGACGCGAAGGCTGTCCCCGAGGAAGGGAGCCCCCGCGACGCGCAGCCGGGCGCCAGGCGTAGCCCTAGGCAGTTCCAAGCCGCTGCCCTGCACACTCGCCCTCGCGGTGCGGCCAGCCTTCAGAACTGGCGGGTAAAACTACTCCGCAGTTCTCCACGGCTTAATATGGATTCCTGGTATTCGTAGCATTGCCGCGTTTACTATTAGGTCTGCTTGCCTAAGAACCTAAGCATTGTACAAAGCAAAACTGGAAACGCGAGGTAGATCTAGGAAAGAAGGTGAGCCCTTAGAAGACCCGCTAGTGGGGACTTCTGGCCAAGAGAACATGCTAACATATTTACCTGCTAAGCTTTAAAGAGGGCAAAAGAACGCCCTGAAATGTCAAAGCCACTATCCCAAAGCAAATACAGCAATGGGTTTTCAGCACTGAGATATAATTTGTCCTACGTTCCCTTCCCAGTCGCACTCTTGTTTGAGCAAGGAGTACTTTGGAATGGATTGATCCGTTCCGCTCATCTGGATCGTCCTCCTCAGCCTCAAATGATGTTGCAGGTGAACGCGGCAAGGAATCTTGCAATCGCAGCCCTTCGGCTTAACGGGCTGCGGTTTTGGCCGCGTTCACACAGGCAAGAGATCCGTGAGAGGGTTGGAGAAAACATAACGCAACTCTTTTGCCGTTCTAATTAACTTGCGGGGCAATCCTGCGGATGTTCATTGAGAAGGAAAGCCTATTTTGTTTAACAGGGCTCACTCCGAAGAGTCGGCACGTGGCGGACTGCAGTCTCAACTTCGGATTCCTCGGCCGTAAATCATAGCTAGGCAGCCGGACCATCTCTAGAGGGTCTGCCTTCAGCAGCAGATGCAAGATTACGGTTGTTCCCAAGCTGAACCCTTTCAAGTGGATTCGCAACCTAATTCATCTGAGGCCTGTTAGATCCACAATGCGAATTCCCAGCGGATACGTTCAGATTGCCTCCCGAATCTTAGAAAAATACATTTTTGGGGAGTGAAAAGTATCTTTCAGACAACGCTTCTGAAGGTACAAGTTTTAAGAAAGGCGCATGGCAATAAAAGAGATGAAGACATTTCTATCTACAGGCATAGATCCAAGGTAAATGTGGATTGTAGGGTAGAACGAGCTCCGATCCTGACATAAGCTATACAGTGGAAGTAAATATCCACTAATACTACAGTCATAAACGACCGCATGAGACAGAAACGTGAGCTCTGCACCTTACCAGTTCAGACAGGTGTTAACATTTGCTGTTTCTCAGGTAAAAACACAAACGCAAACGCCTGTGAATTTTCTGTCTGCAGGACCCCCGAGCAGAGCGAAGTCCATCGCCATTCGAAGCAGGCCGGGTCTCTTTCGTGGAAAAGGAATGGCATTTCATAGGCTGCAGGGAGTTGCTTTGGACGGCGGGTTCGTTTATATCAAGCGCTTTAGCTGGGAGTAGGTGTAACTAGCATCGGGCCAGTGTCACTTGGAGTAATTTTGCAACGGCCCAATGTTTTAGATAGCATCAGAGGGGGCATTTACACCGATTCGCTATGTACTTAGGATGAAGAAGCAGACGCGAAGCGAATTTCCAGTCCTGGCTTCGCTGTGGGACACCACTCCTTCCTTTCTTGGGTCAACCCTTCGCTAAAGGTTTGTCCTCGCTTCCCTATCAATGGGCACTCATTAGAGTTCACAATAACGATAACAATAAATTGTTCACGAGAAGCCCCTTCTTGACAAATGAAGGTGCGACTGAAAAACGAAAGCTTCGTTGAAAAGATTTTCTGGATCTTTTGCATCTATTCGATTTTTTTGAGTGCTCGAAAAGCAGTTTGATACCATGAAAATCCTGGATACGTCTTTTTTAAATGAGTTTCAGATATTTGTGTTGGACTTGCATCCAGGAACGGACAATGTCCACGTGCATATAATAACAAATATCTGCTGGAATTTATGCGCTCAGACTGTAATTCTGTGCACATTCACCTGGAAGTAAGTCCCATTAAATGCAGTGTGACTTCCCTTCAATAAACCCACAAATAAACCATGTATAGAATTGTTCTGTTAAAGGGTTCAGACCCAGCCTTGGAAGCCATTCTTTGCCTAGATGAAAATGTCCTCTTTAGGGAAAAAGGGTGGTTTGTGTGTATATGCCAAACTTGTCAGTGTAAAAGTGCCTTGCATGCTTCGTGGCTGCTAACATGCAATCGGAAGGCGTCCTTGAACAGCTGCCTTTCGGCGGTCTCTTTCGAATGGAAAACGAGTGGCTCTGGAGCGACTGGCAGCGAGGTGCAAGGGAGAGGTCGGCTGCGGCTGGATCGGGCAAAGCGAGCTGCGTGCTGGTCTGATCGCAGTGCAACGACCACCTTGCTGCCCCTCTCGGGCTCAGGGGGAGCTTGGGTTACAAGCTGCGTCGAGCCCGGAAGGGGGCGGGGCAGATCGCCGACAGGAGCCCGCGATCTAATCAATAGGGACAAAAGGGCTGTTTTTAAAGGTCTTTGGCTAGATAAGATTGATACATATCAGAAGCGAGTTCAGGCAGTCAGGAGTCACGGAGACCATCGTCTCCCGCGCAAGGCAAAGCGAGCTTTCAGAGTCGGCCGAGCTGCTCGGCTGAGGCGCTGCCCCAGCGCGATCCGCACCTCTCACTGCGCGCCTGGGCAAGAAAACAGTTCGGAACGGGGGGGGGGGGGGATGACCAGTTCAGTACCGCAGGAAGACGATGTCTCCCCTTCTGGTAAAGTCTCAGTTTCTTTATGCAAAGTCCTGCTGTTGAGAATTAGGAGAAAATGAGAAATGGCGAGGTGGGGGAGGGAGAGGTAGTCCTTCGTAAAAGAGTCTTTGGCCGATTGATCATAAAGATTTTTTGCGGGTTTCAATGATATAAAATACCTGCACCTGCTTTTATTTGTTTGTTTATTGCCGATTACTTGAAAAAAAGAAAGAAAGAAAAGCATAATTTCCCTGCTTAAACTCCAATTCAACAGGATTTATTTGGTCGTTTTGGAGATAAATAAGCGAGGAAATTTACAGCCATTTGAAGTACCTTGACTTTATAACAGAACCCTCGTTTGATGTTGTTCTCCCCACCCCCACTTCGCCGCCATCCTTCCCTTGTTTTCCTCCCCACTCCGCCTCAGCACGCACTTGACGAGGATGCAAAGCGGGAGTCTAGAATGCCAGTCAATTGACCAATAGCAGCGGCCACGGAAGAGGACTCGACCAATCAGAGAGCGCTGCCTGCAGGTGGCTGCGAGGTTATCAGTGCATCTTGTCCGACTCCGAGACTCCGGCGCTAAGTCAATTTCACCGGGAGGGAAACGGCTCAGGAAGAAGAACAAAAATAATTACGGGGGTGGTGGAGAGAGAAACATATTCCAGCATCATTGTCCATTCTTCCGATTGTCAAGAGGATTTCCAAACTAGGCGCAAATAAACAAACAAACGAAGAAGCTCTTGTCAGGTGACGTTGCCCGAAGAAGTCAGAACTGACCAAGATTCATTTCTTGATCCTTTTCTCTCCTCCTTCCCCTTCCTCCCCAATATTTGTCCATTGCCACGCCTTTTTCTTCCTGGCCTGAAAACTTCCTGCCCCGAGCGCTGCGGTTGGGCAGGTCCTTGGCAAACAAGCCGGGATCTGCGATCGCCGCGGCAGCTTCAGTCCGCGCTGAGCTAGCTTCAGGAAGGAGAGGAGGAGGAGCGCAAAACTTCGTGGCTGACTTCATCGCTCATTTTGGTGCTACTTTTCTCCTCTCCGAAGACTCCTAGAAACAGGCAGACGGCTCATTTCGGCCTCTCCCTCCCTCTCAGAGTTCGGAGGAAGGCGAGGCGGCGGCGGGCGTTGGTTGTCTTCCTGCCTCTCTCCCTCGCCCAGCGCTGCTCCCTGGCCGCCCCGAGCTCCTCTACTCGTCCCTTGATGCTCCCCAATGTTAGCCGTGGGGCAGATGGAGGCTAACCGCCCGGGCGCCTTCGTTCTGAGCAGTACGCCGCTGGCCGCGCTGCACAACATGGCCGAGATGAAGACGTCGCTGTTCCCTTACGCCCTGCAGAATCCGGCCGGCTTCAAGGCGCCCGCCCTGGGCAGCCTCAACGCGCAGCTCCCTCTGGGGACCCCGCACGGAATCAGCGACATCCTGGGCAGACCCGTGTCGGGGGCCGCCGCCGCCGCCGCCGCCGCCACCGCCACCGGCAACCTCCTCACCGGCCTGCCTCGGCTGAACGGACTGGCGACCGCGGCAGCAGCGGGGATGTATTTTAACCCGGCGGCAGTCTCCAGGTACCCCAAGCCACTAGCTGAACTGCCGGGACGGCCACCCATTTTCTGGCCCGGAGTTATGCAGGGATCACCCTGGAGGGACCCCAGACTCGCCTGTCCCGGTAAGGTTGGAGGGCTGCTGGTTACCCTGGGAGGGGGTTGGGGAGAGTACAGGTGGGCCCAAGAAAGGGATGACTGAACGGGGATGGGGGGGGGGGGGTGGAAATCGGAAGACGACCATTTCAAGGATTAAAGTGGACCATTCCCAGCTCCGTAGTTACTTATTGGGATGACAGAAGCGAGCGGCACTTTGCACATTCTCGGAGAGCCTCTTTCTTTTTGTTCTCAAGCTGTTCACAAGCTTTCGTTCAGATCGGATGCTGCCAACAGGTTCTCCTGGGATCGATTCCCATTTCCATACTGAACCAGACCAGCTAAAGTTCCATGCAGTCTCCGTTCGACGGGATTCATTTGGTACTTGCCGAGTCCTGGGTGGTCGCTCTGTCAATTATATACTAGCGGCACGGAGGGGCTGTACCCGCACAAAGATGAGGAATGTTCCGCTCGGGGGAAGGGGGCTGTCTTTTCTTTCTTTTTTCTTCTGCCTCCTTCCCCTTAGCGAAGGTCCAAGCCACAAAAAGACCTTTCCTGCCGCCCGGGGTGCCCACGCCTGGCTCAGGAAAGCTCAGTGCGTCGATGCGGCAGAAAGCCCGAGAGCGCCCAAGGCCTCGGGGGAGTTTCCGGAACGCAAACTGGAACGGACCCGCTTGCCGTAAGGGAATGCCTCGCGGAGGCTCGCTCCAGTCTAGGTCTGGGCCAGGCTGCAGTCCCCCTGCTCGTGGCGGAAGCCCCTCTCCACACCCCCTTCGTCGCCGCCGCCGCCGCCAGCGAGGACGAGTCCCGCTCGGAAAAGGGCAAGCCACCAAGTTTTCCCGCTCGGCCACGCTGGCCTGGCCGGCCGGCCGCTACTGCTGCTGCCGGGAGAGGCTTGCTTCTCGTGCAGCTCGCAGGTGCTGTTTCGCGATGCCAGTCCGAATGAAAACCGCTCGAAGGGAGACAGGGAGATTCGCCCCCTCCCCACGATTGAAGCCGTGAGGTTTTTTAGGCGCTTGCTGGAGCTCTTTCTGTCTTGTTCCTCCCCCCCCCCCCCCTGTTTGCAGCCCAGGCTGGGATGGTTTTGGACAAAGATGGCAAGAAAAAGCACTCCCGGCCAACTTTCTCGGGGCAGCAGATTTTTGCGTTAGAGAAAACCTTCGAGCAAACGAAATACTTAGCAGGACCGGAGAGAGCCCGCCTCGCTTATTCGCTGGGAATGACGGAAAGTCAAGTCAAGGTAAGGTGTTCTTGTAAGCGCTCCTCCGCTGCGTGGGCGGGAGATGAAGGACGCCGTCCCCGGCTTTCCGGGGGACACGGAGAGAGCCTGAGGCGCCTAACCGAGGAGCTGCAATCTTGCAGGCATTTAGTTGGGTGCAAGTCCCACTGAACTGAATGGCTGTGAGACCCAGTGATTCAATGGGACTTGCTTCTGCCTAGACAGGATTGCACTGCTAAAATGGTTAATCTGAAATCCAGATCATCTCCGTGGGATCAACAGCCCGATCAAATGCTTGTTTCTTAGAAGTAAGTCCTGCTGAGTGCAGTGAAACTGTATTCCCATATAACTCTGAGTGTATATAACGGCAGCTCTTCTTAGAAATGAATGAGACTCACTTCCAAAATGTGAATGCTTATTACCCACGTGTAAAAAATCCCTTGGCTATTTGCTGGCCAAATGAATATGAATTTAATTTTTTAATATTGAGAAGATTTTGCAAACTTTGGAAACTTGAAGTTGGAATTCTAAGGCCATGTACCTGGGAGTAAGTCCCATTAAAGGCACAGGGACTTATTTCTGAGTAGAGATTTAAAGGATTGTGTAGTTAGTATTTATTGCATTTCTACTGAGTTTTATTATCCAAAATATACATATTAATTACTATGACTAAAAATTAAAATGTCGTTAAGACAAAGTCACCTAGTTTTGACTTGTTCCTCCTTGAACTCAAATAATTTGCAGCTGCTCAGGAGGGCTTACTGGAAATATGCTGAAGCTTGCAGCCTGGTTTGGTAAATTCTTTCCCTTGTCTATAACCAGATGAAGCAATTTAAAACCAGGAAAAATTAAAATAAAATCTAGAATTGTTAATCAAATAATATTGGTCTATTGCTTTGTGGGTTTTCTTCAATACCGGATGAATTCTCTCGACAAAAAGCTGCAAGATTTCTGATTAAACTTCAAGGAACTCCAAAGTTAGTCTGAGCAGTTTCGGTGGTTTTGTTTTTGTAAGATCTATCTTCTGCCTCTTTTTAAAAGAGTTGTTTATTCAACAAAGAATTAAACATGGAGTACTGCATATAATATTGTACATTTCCAGGAGAGATCCCCACCCACACAATTCACTTAGGTGGGTTTTAAAAGGATTTTTTAGGAGTTGAATTTTAGTTGGTCATACCCGCTGTCCTACACAATGGGGTCAATCTGGGAATATGAGGTCCTGATATGATAGTTGTGAACCAGAGATACGCAGTGTTCCAGTACTGCTTTTCCTCATGCTGATGCAGAAGAAGACATTGATGCAAACAGAATATACTGCATGTCCAGGCACATGGTGCTTTTCTGAGGCCTTGAGATTTGCTTTCTGTATAATCTGCCTGAATTACTAGGCTGCACCCCTGTGCACACTTAATCCAGAGTAGGCTCTGTTAAATTTAGTAGGACTTAATGCACAAGAAATAGAGTGAAATCCAGATATAGTCACTTTGAGTAGACCCGCTGAAATCAGTGGGATATGAGCTAGCAATGACTAAATTTAAGTCTTGTAGCTTTCTATGGTTTTACACTAAGTACAGCTAAGTCTGACTCTAACTCCAAATTTCTTTTTTTTTTCCCATGAAAAAATGGCCAAATTTAAATAGAGCTAAAGTTGCCTAACAACTAGATCCAGCAGTAGCATTCCCACATTCCTTGGCAGAAAGACCTGCTAAATCAAATGTGCTTCCCACATAAAGTTACTAGAACCAGAATGAAAAGAAAACTTGTTTTGTCTATTTGGGAAGCTCCTCCCTGAGAAGAGCACAGAAAGGCCACAGATTCTGGCAAGAGGTAGTTCTTAAAAAGTGTTACCCTTATGGCATTGATTGGCATCTACTTTCCAGTAAATATGGTTGGAATGTAGAATATTCTTCTAAATCTGTTTTATTGGAAGATGGAAACCAAGGGAATTTTTGGAATAAATATGCCCAGAACTTAATTTCAAGTGTACTTGCTTGAAAATGGGCTCTGTGAGAAATTGAATGTGTGTGTGGAGTGAGATGCAGTGCAGAGGTGTGCCATACAGATCTACAGGTTGCCGAAGGTACATATTTAGTTGTGCATAGGTTTGGAGCATAACCACTCTTTTAGCGCTGACATGCCCTGTATGTGGGACGGGACAACATAGGAGGTGCAAGTAAAGGAGTAAGCGGAAGAGTTCTTGATGCAGGTACCCATGTTAGCCTCGAGGCACGCCCAGGGTAGCTGAAGGGAAGGTATGTGTGAACGTGTTCAACATGTCTGTTTAGCCAAGCCAGGTCAGTGCTAAATACAATTATCCAAATTTAGCCAGTATTGAAAATTGGAGTGGGAAAACAGTTTAGGAATCTAATGTTACACAAAGGCAAACTGCAATCCTAAATGCACTTATTCCTGAGTAGACATATCTGCAATTGCTATGTAAGGCTTTGCAGATGGAAGGAAGCATCCAAGTTTCAAGCTTGCTACCTTGGACGTCAGCCCCCTGTGGGAGGGAGGATGAGCTTCAGAAACAGCCTGCTTGAAGTAATGAGGGTTTCCTTCTGAACGAAGTTGGCAGCCAGGGCGGAATACCTTTTCAAAGTCATTTGAATCTGACAGGATGTAGCACGAATTGCACATGCCTAGGGTTAGCTTGCAAGTCCCAAATTGGTATTTTGCATTTACTCCTTCCACTTATTTCGGGCTCGCCTATGGAACCAAGAAGTCCTCCTAGCCAACGGTAGCCGAGATCAGATTGCACCTCCACTAAGCCCATTTTCAGGTTCTTCCCTTCCAGTAGCGTTTACTCCCTAGCACGTATGCATAGGATCGCGTTGCCTTATCAGGGCACTTTCTTCAGTCAGGCGAAGTGAGGTTTCTAATTTGTGTTCGCGAACATCAACACAGCCCTCAGTGTACAGGTTCCCTTCTGGGTCGGTTTGTGCAGCCAAGGCCTGCTGGGCATCAGCGTGGCGCAGGGGCGCAGCGAGGGCCGGAGGCACGAATCCGCGGCAATTCCCCCAAGGGGTGGTTCCGCGGCTTCCCGGGGCTGCGTGCCTCGTGGGGATGGTGGGGGGCGGCGCGGCGCGGCCGGGCCTGGCCTGGCCTCGGGCTCGCGCTGCCGCGTGGAGGCCACGGCGCGTGACCGGCGCGCCCGCGCCTGTCTCTCTGTCTCTCTGTCTGTCTGCCCGCCCGTCCGGCCCAGGTGTGGTTCCAGAACCGGAGGACCAAGTGGCGAAAGCGGCACGCCGCCGAGATGGCCTCGGCCAAGAAGAAGCACGACTCGGAGACGGAGAAGCTGAAGGAGAGCTCGGAGAACGAGGACGACGACGACTACAACAAGCCGCTGGACCCCAACTCGGACGACGAGAAGATCACGCGGCTGCTCAAGAAGCACAAGGCGGCCGCCGCCGCCGCCGCGCCGCTGACCCTGCTCAGCCCCTGCAGCAACGCCTCGGAGCCGTCGTGACTGCGGCTCAGCCCTCGTCCGCCCAGCCGCCCATCGCCCCCCGCCTCCTCTCCTCCGGCCAAGCAGGGTAGCCGACGTCAGACGCCAGCCAGAGCCGGCCCGCCTCGGGACAGGCTGCAGCGACGTCCTGTACAGCCCACCACGTGGGGGAAAATAATGTGTGTATATATATTTTTTACAGATTAAGTTATGGAAATGAAGGATCGCCCGTTTTCTCCGCTGGTGTACGTGCCACAGGCACGCCGTCCACTCTCAAGCGCACAGGGAGCGAGGAGAAAGGTTAAGGCCTCCACTTTGAATGGGGTAACTTTCCACAGGATGCAATCCTGCCCAAGTGCACACAGGGATGTTTTAAAAAGGCCTACAACTCGGGGCATACCGGGTATTGCAGCCTTAAAAAAAAATCCCTGCCTAAACTTTCAAAGGATTGCACCTTAAGTTGAATCTCTGTTCAGTGTTTCGCTCTCCACCCGTCCCTGCCCTTGCATGCTGAATTTGGGAATAAAAGCTGCCATAATAATATTATTAGCCAGATTAATGTAAAAGAAACTTCTAAGAGCAAATGGACTTTGTGGGCGCGGTGTCCAGCCAGACCACCAGCAGGATTCACCGGGGAATGCAGTTCCCTCGAAATTCAAAGGACGGCATTGCTCAGTTGCACTGCGATCCTCCGCATACTTCTGAAGAGGTGAGCGTTTCGCTGAATTCAGTAGGGCTTGCTTTTGAGTAAGCGTGTCCGGGAATCCATCCGGCTAAGCTTAACGAATTTGCTTCCTGGCTAACCCTCCAAAGCCTTGCACTGCTAATGCGTTTGCAATTGGAATGCTAGCAAGACGCTGATTTCTGCCCAAAGTCAGGATGTGAAAAGCCCTATGCCTATTTACTTGACAGCCATCGACCCTTACTTCTGCGTAGGTGTGGGTAGGATTGGGCTACATCTATGTAGCAAGAAGAGCATGGGGATATATACTTAGAAGCAAGTCCTATAGACTTCAGTGAGATTTATTCTTCAGTGACTGAGTTTTAAAGGCTGTCTTTCCTTTTCAAGGGAACTTCTTTCCAGTCAGACTCTCTGGCTTGGAAGGAAATTCTACTGACTGACTGTGAAAAAGGTAAGCTTAGGATGGGGCAGGATTGTTTGCAGTAGAAATTGCTGCCTTTCAAAATTCCACCAACTGCCCAGGCCCCTGCTGGTAGCTTCCCTGCTCCTAACAATCAAGATTTTCTTACTGTTTTGTATATGGTCTTCTATCCCAGCTCAGCCACTTTGTACATAGGAAATTACAGATTTTTGTGATGTATATTTCTAATGTAAACAAAGAGAAAGGAGAAAAGAAAAGGGTAGTTTTCTTTGCTCTTCTTTTTATTTTGGGTTTGGATGGCTTCACTTATCTTCCCATCTCTTTTGAATTATGGGGTGGGGGTTGTTTGTTGTTTCGAAGTGAATGTAAGAGAGAGAGGAATGCATTACTTGATTTCCAGTTGGCCTCAAACCCTTAGGGTTGAAAATACTTTGTATAAATCAATAAATTATTTAACAAGCTCCTTATTTGGAAAACTTCAGCCTTTGGATGTGGGCTGTTTTGTGCTTCCTTCCAGAGTTTTCATGTTGGTGCTTCCTAGATACTTTTCTGTGGGGAGGGGGTGGAAGGGAGGTGTTGTCACTATTCTTAAGTCAGTGGGTTGTATCCAGTGTTAGTGTGACTTAAACCCTGTCCATGTGAAGGACTACCAGGATACTATTAATGGGGAATCATCAGGATGGCAGTTGGTGATGAGCAGGGTCCCCCAAGGCTCTGTCCGGGGTCAGATTCCGTTCAGTCTTTTCATCAATGACCTGGAAGAGGGGGTGAGCAGTCTGCTGATCAAATTCAGAGACAATACTAAAATGTTCACAACTGAGAAACAGGTACTCTGGATCCAGAAGGATCTGGACAGACTATGGAAGTGGGCAGGGGATAACAGGATGGTGTTAATGCAGATAAGTGCAAGGTTTTGCACTTGGGTATAGGAATGGGCATCATAAGTACAGGTTGGGACAAGTGGCTGGAGAGCAGCACTTGTGAAAGGTATCTTGTGGTACTGGTTGACTGCAGGCTAAACATGAGTCAGCAGTGTGATGCAGTGATGAAGAAGGTAAATACCACCCTTGTTTGCATAGCCAGAACTGTGGCTTCTAGACGGAGAGAGGTATTTCTACCACTCTATATGACTCTGGTGCACCCACAACTGGAGTATTGTATTCAGTTCTGGGCTCCACATTACAGCTAGGTTGGAATCAGTGCAGCACAGGGCCACAAGGATGCTGGCCAGATTGCAGGGAAAGCCGTATGAGGCAAGACTGAGGGAACTAGGTCTTTTCAGCCTGGAGAAGAGGAGACTCCAAGGGGATCTGTTGGCTACATAGAGGTACATGAGGGGGTGGCACAGGGAGGTTGGTAGAGACCTGTTTTCCCCTGCAGAGGAGGGCAGAACATGTTCCAATGGAGCAAAGCAAAGGTTCAATTTGGATGCCAGGAAGTACTTCCTGACGGTTGGGACCCCTAGGGTATGGAATGGGCTTCCATAGGAGGTGTCTGAAGCCCCATCAGTGAGGGTGTTCAAGGCTGGACACTCACGTGGTAGGCATGTCATGAGTGGAGGCGACTGGAACCGGGGGTCAGATTAGATGGACCAGGAGGCCCCTTCTGACTCACTCTGTTTCTCTGTTTCTATTTTCAAGTGTATTTCCAGGAAAGACTGCAAACTTGACTGATTATAATTCACAGAAGTTTTAGCATGGGCTTCAGGGAACTGGATTGCATCCAAAGTACACTTAGGCTTGGCATGTTCCTCCAGACTTCATTTTCCTGAAGCTGGGATCCTCCAAATAGGAGGGTGATTGACTGAGGAGGATGGGAATTGAAGTAGAACACCTGAAAGGCAGCCAACTGGGGAAGATGGGGCTAAAAACAACATGTCTGGGAGTCAGGTTGCAGTGGTATGCTTTGCTCCAGAAGAAAACACTTCAGGCGAAAGGGGGATAGGTCATTTCACAGCTGGCAACTTGCTAAGCCCCAGTCAAGTCTTCCACACTCTCAAAACCTGAGTAAGAATCAGATGCCCATGAGAGTCTTTAACAGCCTTCCAGCAGAGGGGGAAAAATCCCTCTTTGAGAATGCATTCTTCATTTGAAAACCAGGTTCCATGACCATCGGTCATACAAAGGAAGAAGGATCGAAACGGTGCAACTGCTGCTGCTTCCCAGTGGTAAAATTGCAACTTTTTCTTTTTCTTTTTTAGCCACAGTGCTTGTGTGAAAGGCTGTCAGCAAGTCTTGCCTGCCAAAGTGGTGCACCAGGTCAGACGTTGCATCCTCCATGTGGCTTCAGTCCCCAGGGACGCTGCAGGGACAGTTTTAGAGTGCTTTGAACTGGACCTCTTTGGGTGATGCCATTCCCAAGACTGCATCTGCCCACTGGAAAAATGTTCAGCTGCTGAATATCTCATTGTTTCACTGCTATGAGAAGTACAGGAGCAATTACAGAAACATTAATAGACAGGCATTCATGGGTTTTTTAAAAACAAACTGAATAGCTAAATATGGTTTGAGATTCCTATCATCCTGTCTTTGGTTTGACATGCACTGGGAATTGGAAAAATAAAAATAAAACTGAATGGACCAGAAGAAAGCAGTTGGCGGAAAGGGACAAATAGGCCCTTTTCCTAGTGTTACATGAAAACAGCTATATCAGCCATTACTCTTTGATAGTGTTGCTGCTTTAGGAAAAACTGTGCTCCTTCATGGCCCACATGGTCTCCCGTGCCTTGTCCAGAAAGTGTATAGCTCCATGGTACTAAACAAGAACCAGTAATGCTCTTTGGGTAGGGAAGAAAACAAATATAAACATGAAACAAAAAATGAACTAAATGTGAATGTATAAATTTTCCTTCATACCCTTCAAAGTTATTTTAAGCTTTTTAAAATATATTAACCATTTTCATTCAAATTTCAAATCTAGTTTATAAACATAAATTTTATATATTATCAAATCATAATGATACCTAAATCTCGTATGCAGAACCCATGAATTCCAGGATATGGCTACAATCCTGTGCATGTTTATTTGGGAGTAAATGCCACTGATCCCAGTGAGAAGGGGTTTTCCTCAGTGGCACAGCATTTGCTTCCCAGACATAAGTCCAAGTTCCAAAGCCTGTGATGGGAAAAGATCCCTGTCCAAAAAAACAAAACAAAACAAAGAAACAAAACCAGACACTTGGATGCACCTTGATAAAAAAACGGCCTGACATTGCTTCCTGTGTTTGTATGCCTAGGATGCATTAAGAGCTTAGATCCAGACTAAGTCATACTAAAGAGTAAGCCTGCTGAAATTAGTGAGAATCAATTGATTCATGACTAATGAGTCTCACTAATTTCATTGGATCTACTCCAAATATTAGGTCCAGATCCAATCGTGTGTGTGTGTGTGTGTGTGTGTGATCTGTGAAAAAAGACTGTATTAAATGCACTGCTTTAGAGTCCCTGTGCCTGACTCTCTGTGCCAGGGCTTATCCTGTCCTGTGATGAGAAGTGCAGGAACTCAAAGCTGAGAGTTGGTATGATGGTGAGACTATTGGACTGGTGATCTGGGTTCTAGTTTCAACTTGGCCATGCAACTCACTGGGTGACTTTCAGCCAGTCACAGACTCTCAGTCTAAACTACCTCATGCTGTTGTTGTGAGAATAAATTGGAGTGAAGGAGAATTGTGAAGGCTGCCTTGGTTTCCTTACAAGAGGAAAAAGGCAGACTGTCAATGCAATGTAGTAGTAATAATAAGCAGCAACAGCATACCCCAAAATAGCATTCCTGACCAGAGGGTCCAACAACTTTCATCCCAGATGGCCATAAAGTGTTGTTGCACAATACTGCTGGAAGTATGCACTCACATAAGGCACTCTACCCATGCCAAGAATCTTTTTAAAATATTTTTTTCCTGTGGTCAGAGCTGCAAACTGCATTAACAGCAGATTCTGACCTAGTGTTCTCAAGTGCCTATTAAGTTCTGGATGAACTACAAACTGGTATGGCTCCTATCTTCTTGTTCTTATAAGTAATAATCAGTGGTAGGTGCAAGTTCTGAAACTGTTTACACTGAAGTAATTTTATTTCAGCAATTGATACTTGCCACCCAACCAAGCAGCAAAATGTAATGGCAAGACCATAAACTGCATGGAACCAGTGACATGGTTCAGAATGCAGAATAACCCACACTTAAGGGCTGAGTGAGTTGTCATCATTACTGGAACATGGGTTATTCTATTGGCTGAGAGTGGGAACAACTCACAGTTCATAGCCCAACAACAAATGATGGGTTTTTAATGGATTATTCATGATTAATAAGCCATGACTTGTTAATACTGCTAATCCAGGAAAGGTGATACCCCACATTTCAACAACAACCCTTGGGTCAATTGGCAATCCATGATCAATCCTTGAGTGTGGGTTATCCTGTTGTCTGAACCCAGCCACTGACTTGTGTATAAATAAATGTAGAAAACTTACTTAAATGGCATTTTTACTGTGGTTTGCCAGGCACAATGCTCTGGAATTATCTAGTCCCTTCCCTTGCTTTCTGCAAGTTGGCTAGGTCTGATCTAGGACAAAGGGATAATCTAGCTGTGGGTAGATCTGTCATGATTTTGTGGCCTGGGCAGAAATTCCAGAATTAAAGAGCCTGGACCCCTTTAGATGTGGATTTCCTAAAATGAAGAGTTTTCTAACTCCTTCTATGACAAGTCAGTATTAACAACAAACTACAGGGAGCTGCCCCTTTTGGAAAGCCTATCTATGCCGTGAGAGAGCAAAGGATTAAGGACTACAAACCATTTCTTTTGGTAGTTGTAGTTAGGAATTCATCTCTCTCCCTTATCTCTCTGGCTGAGTTGGAACAGGCCACAGGAGGTATCCTATCCAAGTTTGCTCCAGCTCCAAGTGAGGCAATCAAATGGAACTCTCCTTGTAGAAGATTCACCCCAGTGCCTCTGGATTCACAGGGTCTGTCCGTGCAGAGCTGCAATTGGCTGGCTGAAGACCATTGATCTAGCCTGGTGCTGCCACTGCTTAAAAGGAAACAAATGAAAACAGAATCAGGCCAAGGATGGTCTCAGTGGTAGAAGGTGGGCTTTGAATATGGAAGGAGCCAGGTTCAGTCCCTTTCTATCAATGATGTCCACCATGAAAAGGATGGGGAAACAGGAGATGGGAAGGACCATGATGCCTGAGACTATTGTTCATTACTGCTTGTTAGTACTGGGCTACATAGGAACACATGAACCTTACAATAAGTCAGCCCAGTATTTGTTGACACTGAAAGGTAATATCTTGCTAAACCATGGTTCCTCCTGAACCCTTTAGATGGAGAAACCATTTGACCTGGTAGTCTCCTATTGTGAATCTGCACTGGAAATGAAGAGAGGAGAGCCTAGAAAAAAAGCACTTCACCTGTTGAATAGCTGCCTGTTCTAGAACATTTATTTGGAGTCGCCGTGAGTTGTAGAATTGCGCAATGGACAGATGCTTCCTTTCCTGCTAGTGCCCCAATGAGTGCATCTTTTAAAGGGTTGTTAGCACTTTAAGCTTCAGTAGCTTTATTTGCCTAAGGAAATGCAAGCTCCATCTGGGACTATTAAATGGCGGTTTCAGCTCTGGGCCAGCGAAACCTGGGGGCGAAAGGACAGCAAAACAGGGGTGTGGTCTTGGGCGAGCCGGGATAGTCCTACAGCAGTTCACGAGTATAGAACGACTTGGGGATGAGGACAACTTCCCTGAAATCAAAAGGGCTTGAAAACAAGGCTTCCCAAAGCACTGTGATCTGAACCCAAGTCTCGGATTAAGCAGTAGGACAGTAAAAACAGCAAACAGCCTGATCTAGCAAACGCTAAGACGGTTGGGTGGCCAGTGCCTGTCATCTTCTTCCGAGCTAAATCCGTTAGCTACAATTGTAAACACACTTTCAAGAACTGAAGCCGACTGAACACAATGGAACTGACCACCTTCCGACTAGACACGCCTAGGATTGCTCTGCTGCGAAGTCTCTGCTTCAAGAGCAATTCGGCTACCGGTCTTACTGATTTCAGTGAGAAGGAAGGCTGCCACCGCCAAGTTTCTACATCAATAGGAATCGTGGGACTATTTGAGTTTGTGTTAGCATTCGGCAGATATGAGTTGCGCCGCAGTCCTGTTGAGTTCACGCTTCATTCAACATTTACTAGGGCTTACTTCATAGTAAGTGACGATTACAGGCTTGGACCTTAACTCGTTAGCGTTTCAAGCGTTTGTCGCGCAGTCTGATCCTATGGATGCTTACTTGGAAGTTCAGTGGAGCGCAGTTCTAAGAGACTGCCATACACACTTACTGGGAGGAAATTGTATTGGCCTTAACAGGGTGTAAACAGGGCTAGTTTCAAGTAACAGGTGCAGCACTCATGGGGCAAGGTCACAAAGTGTAGGATTGTTTACCGTCTGAAAAAAGCGAAAACAACGTCAAATACAGGGAGCGAGGGGCAGGGATGAGATAATGCTTGGTGAGTAAAAACTGAACAGAGAAAAACATTAAGGACACATCCACCGAAATGTACCTTCATTGCACACGGTTAGTCTCTGGAGCAGGCCGAGGGCACAGTGTGAAAGCCAGTTGCCGTGGCTGATGCAGAGCAAGTAATTTGGATGGGAGACCTGTTGGAAACCTGCGTGGGCGCGGTACATGTACGCATACGATGCAACAGCTTTAACCCATAATTTAAACGGTGTGATTGGCACTCGGACAGCCTTTTAAGAAGAGATGTATCCTCGGATGCCAACATTAAAGTCACAGCCCTGCGAACGGCCTCAACTTCGACTTGCTGTTAGAACGAACCATAGTGGAAATGGTCGTTTCTAACAAGATCTTAAGGCTTCCAGGAGATCGACGCACTACCTATTTTGCAGGCGGCTCAACAGGAATGAGATTTATCTAGCTCTTCTGCCTTGTGGGCTGGGTTGGCCTTTGATAGTTCCACACTCTGCTGGCCTGGTTTACATTTTCAGGTTTGGACTGTTCTGAAAAGAAATGGGGAGATTCTAACGAATCTAAATTGCAAGTCGACCTTCACTGATGTTTCAAACAACCTGTACACTGACTTCGAATTAATTAAGGCTGCAATCCTATAAATATTTACTTCGGAGTAAGTCCCAATGGATTCAGTATGATTTACGTGTTCCTCCCAATGGACACGTTATAGGATTGAGTTGAATTAGTCAGCAGTTCGTTGACATTGTGTCGTTCCCATGATATGCTCTTGATCTCAATTTAACGAAAAACACCCACCAGCTAGGTACTTGCAGGTACAGAGAATGGATGCACTTCGAACAATTGAGGGGAAAGTATTTCACTGGGCCTATTCCGATGACAGTTGCTAAAACTCCTTCTTTTTGCATCTAGTCTCTCCCCCCCCCCCCAGGAACTTCTGTTTCCTTTTGCAAACGCATTGGAATGCCCTCTCTAAACGAAGACTGCAGGTGCAAAATGAACTAAACTATTAGGGGGTTGGATAAGAGCATTACCTTTCTCCCCCTTTTCACTGTGGCTCAGGTTTTGTTTTGCAACGCTCAGCGAAAAATAAATGGGGGAGGGAAGACAGCAGATGCCTCAAATTCCACAGGGGCCTTTCATGTAGGAATTCCTCTCTCCTCAATTGCAGGACAGATTGTCCCTTGAACGACGCTTTGGTTTAGATTCAAGATCTCAATGTAACCCTCGGCTGAACACTGAACACGTACTTTGCCGGGCAAGCCTGTAACGTGTCTTCTCAGAGATGAGCCTCACTGAAGTCCATAGGAGTCATTCCCACGTCAGTGAATAGCAGCCTAAGGCAGGTAGAACTTATTAAACAATCCTATGATGAAGTGGGGTAAGGCAGAAGGGAAAGAAAGGAATCCAGATAATAAGAGCGGCTTTTCGGTTTAAATCACTCGATTCCGAGCTTTCGATGTATATTCAGAAGGAAGTCCGGTAAGAAATACTTCTCCCAGCTGACTCAGTGCGCGTAGGGCTGCAGTCTTGAAATTCGCTTTATCGAAGTTACTTTAATGGTCCACTAACAGCCCAGCGAAGTCACCACCGTGTGATTGAAGTCAATTGCCATTGCAGTCTCAAATACTCTTGGCTTTAATGGGATTTCCCCGCCGCCTTTGCTCTTCTCTCTGCTGGAGACCTCGCAAACCGATTTAGTAATGAATCCTAGTAAACGGTGGCCATTATCTCTGAATAAATGTGCACAGGAAACACCCTGAAGTAGTTGGACTGAAAGGTAATGTGAACAGATATCTTAATTTATACCAGTACAACCGGTGAAATCAGTAGTGACTACATGATCAGACACAGCCTTTTTTCGGGGTGGGCGGCCAGCTTGAAAACCTGCGATCACCTCAGGGATGCAGCATCGTACCCTTAACCAAGGTACAGGGAAATGCTGCCCTCTGCCTTTAGTTAATTCGACAAACGAAGGAGTGGCCACGGCTAGCATACGTCTGAGCATGTGCAGAATGTGTTGCTTCACTTGCCCACCGCACCCAGGTGTGCACTGCCATTATGGCACCCAAAGACTTCGACAGTCGAAGAGAAGCTTCCGCTCTCCTCTTCTCCGCTTAGAAATTCAGCAGAGCTCTTTCACCCTTTCAAAAATATACTTTTCAGCTGGACGTGGGGGGTGGGGAGCAAGTCTCTAAGCGGGGAGGGGATGGGGCGGGGCGGGGGAGGAGAGAAACACGAAGCCGTTTTCACCATGATCAGTTTTATTGCTTGAAAACTAGAATGCTCATTTCAAAGTGAACACGCCAAATACAACCTTTTTCCCAATTCCCACATGGCTCCATCCTTGATGCCTTCATATATACCCAGTGATTCACCCACTCTGCGCTGTGTGTGTGTGGCGCCGGTTCTGTGCTCAACAGAAGGCAACCCTTTGCCTCAGATTTTATCCTCCCCTACACACACACACACAGCTCCAGCGTGTGATTTATACCCAGCACACCCGCCACCTCCTAGTCCCTGAACTCGGTAGTGTTCTAAATGAAATCAATAAAGTCCTCCATTTGTGTTTCATCAACAGACTCACTAATCACCTTTTAATGCTGTACAACGGGGGGTAGGGTGGGGGAGGAAGAGTTAAAAATAAGAGGAGTAGGGTATGGGGGTGGAGAAAGGTGGGCAAAGGAAAGTCTCCAACCAGCATTAAGGTTTATGGCCCACGACCCCTGCCTCGCTCCTTCTTTCTGGCCCTTTGCTACACTGAAAAATTGCTACCTGGTGTGTGGCTGGTTTGTTTTTTCCCTCATGTTTTTATTGTTTTCAGCTACAATGCTCAGCACCAGAATTTGCTGCTTAAATATGTGACTACAGTCTGCAGATGGAGAAGTGTCCTGGCTTTATATACACACACCAGCAAAGGCAACCCTTGGGCTGATTGGGCACTAAGGCTACCCGTTCTTAAATAAGAAATCTTGGAAATGAATCTCAAGTGGGTCCATATGTACACAAATTCACACCCACATCCTAAAACATGTACCCAGCTTTTGGATCCTAGGCATTTTCCCCTCTGAGGTAAGGTCTTAGGGCTCACTGCTACTTATTCCCTAGCAATCTTAGCTACACCTACTTCTGGGTAAACCTGCAGTTCTCAAGAAAACCCAGTAAACTTGCTTCAGAGTAAGCATGTTTTGGGATTGTGTTAGCGGCAAATGACCTTCTGCCACATGGATCTTGATGGCAGTTTAGGCCCATGGGAAAGGACATACCTGCACACACAGAGAGACACACCCAGTGGAATTGACTGCCACAAAGGGTGTACAGGTTGGGCTAGGGTAAAATCCTACATTGGTAAACACATTGAAATGAATGGGAAGATCCATTCATTTCAATGTGTCTGCTTTAAGGAGTACTTATGCTAGATTTTAACTCTAGTTTGAAAAATCTATTTTCTATCAGGAGAAACAGTTTATAATTATAAATTATTTCTATATCTGTGTGTGTATACATATATATATATCTCTATACACACTCACATACAAATATATAAATATATACAAGCATAGAAAGCAGCTGCTGTTGTGTGATTCAAAACCCATGGAACATGGCAGTATAGTAAATAACACGAGGAAACAAAATGTCTATAAAAATGGGGAAAACAAGAACAAACAACTTCAACCATCTAACCCTAATTACCCACCCCCCATCACAGAAACCATACATCTTGGTCAAAGATACAATATCACAGTGAGACTACTATACAAGGCAATGTACAAAATCCCAACCTAGCTCTACGCTAGAGAAGGGTGATGAAAATGGTCCTAAATGTTGAATATTATATATATCATATATAATTTCACATTGACAAATTAAAAACAAAACACAGTGAAGTCTAAAACACAGAACACTGTGGCAAACTAGAGAGTTTCATTTTTGGCAATCAGACTGTCTGTGGCATAATATATGCATCTCCATATAAAAATAAAAAGTTCATATTTGATGTCACAGGAATATACGAGACGGTGAGGTATGAGAGTTTTTCTTATTCGTTTTTGTTTGTTTTTCGGGACTACAGTCCAGATGCTGTAGAAGATAGTGTATGATCAGCCTAAAACAACAACAATAAAAACAATAACATGGCACGCAGGACTTGAAGGATGAATAGAGCTGACACGATTTAAACTGTGGGATAGACTTCAAGGTCTTCTGCTTTGTCCTCCTCCTTGCTTATAAGGAGCTTTCTTGAAAGATCTTCTCATGTCGAAGGCATCTTTTTCCTGTTGCAGAATTGATTGGCAGGGGTTTTTTGTGTGTGTGTGCGCGCATGTTTTTTAAAGACTAAAAATGAAAGAAACAAAAAACACGCCCCACAGGAATAGGGTATGGGGGGGGGGGGAGGAAGCATTGAAACAAGTGAAAGGAAGCAAGAGAGGTGGGGGAGGAAGAGGAGATAAGAAAAATCTAATGTGATATTTACCACCACATCACTGCACGACACAACACTTGTGCACATTGGCAATAGGTTTACCTGCCCCAGTGGCTATTCGAAAGGACAGGAAGACGGGCTGCAGAAAGGAAAGTTGTGGGTGGGTGGGGGGGGGGGGGAGAAGGAGAAGAGAAAACAAAATTAGCAAGTGGAGCTATCCCCAGCTATCATTCCCCTCCCCCTTCACAAACATAGCCACGAACTAAAGCCAGTTGCAGGCAGGGCCATCCCATATGTCACCGGATCCCCACCTTCCCCTGGGAAGAATTTGTTGGATCACTGACGGCTGGCCAAGACTTCTTTCTTGTGCTCAGGCTGGACACGTCATACTTAAACACATAAAGCTGTTTTCTCAGGGAACAAGCCTGCCATGGTCAGTAGCCTGTATTTGCAAATAAGGGAGCATCAGATCAAAGCCTCTTCTGTGTCTTGGCAGAAAATCCCACTCAATGGTGCAGAATGGCTTTCTGCCTAAACATGCCTCAGGCTGCAAGCTTCACTGAACTTAACGGAGCTTACTTCTAGATAGACTTGCCTAGAAGGGACAAGTAACCTGGTGACTAGCCACACTAGATTTACTCAGACCAAAGTTCCATTGACGGCAATGGAATTTACTCACAGCTGAGTATGCTTAGGAATGCAGCCACTCCAAAACCCCAAATGCAAGACTTATGGGGAAGTGGAGAAAGAAAGTCCCAATTTTTTTCTAGCACGAGAGCCTGTTTATTGGTGTGTAAGAATCAGAGAAGATAGTCTTGGATGGTTAAATATTATTTCAAACCATATCATGCTGAATTTTGCCTTCGGTGTAGCCTGCACAACACTAGGGAGGGGGAATTTTATTTTTCATAGATTTAGAGGTTCTTTGGCTTCAGGTTAATGTCATTAGGACCACAAGCTTCAATATCCTTTCATAGGGGTGTTTGTGTGTGCGTGCATGCATGCATGTGTGAGAGAGAGCCAAGTGCCATCTCTAAAAGGAAGCTTGATCTCACTCTCCTGCCCCTCTCGGTTCAACAAATCTAACAAGACAAAAGTGCTTGGCTATCAGGGTGAGTGGGATCCTTGGGGCAGTAAAAGTCATTCATGTCCCTGGAGCATGCTGGCTTATGCACCTTTGGATTGGGAAATTCTAAGCTCTGGCACCATTAATGGGGCTTTACTGTTAAGGAGTTGCATGTCAAGGGCCGTAGAGTCTCCCTGCTGTCATGGAAAGTCCTCACTTTCTGATTTCAAAGGGACAGCATCAAAGGTCATTGGATGGGGTACAGAGTGGTGCAGTCAACAAATTTAAAAGTTCAAAAAATCAGGGGTCCTAAAGACTTTCAAGCACAGAAGGCCCTCAACCAACAAGCACTTGAATTTGAAATACACAAATACACTTCCCTTTTTCTCTTTCTCCCACCTCTTTTTTGTCTCCATTTATAAGTTGTGCACTCTGCCTCATTTGCAGCATTTTACAACGGTCCAGATGCTGTTGTCTTCTATTTGCATCCCACCTGATACTGCTCTCTCTCTCTCTTTTTTTAATTACAGCAGTCCATTATTGCCAGTGCTCTGCCTCATTCGCAACATTTTACTGGGGGTCCAGATCAAGATGACATTGTCTTCCACTCATAATCCTTCCATGTTTCCTAACAGTCCTTCCAGTGTTTAGGAGGCATACTTTCTCGCTGGTAGCACTGTCAGCCCTTGTTCTGGAAGCCCCGTTTAACTCCACAGGAAACTAAGAAAGATGAATGCTTTTCATGCCCATCTTCCTACATACAGGTTTCAGTTAATCTGGTAAAACATCCTATGCTCATTCCACTCTCTTCCACTCTGATCCTGTGCACGTTTACTCCAAACAGTGTTCTCTTGCGCTATGCAACTTAATTTAAGTAACAGTGTGTCTTCTAAAAGAGTTTCAGGGTGCTTCCAGAAGTACAGGTCTTAGCACACTATTTCATCTTTCACCCCTTAGTTGATTTTTGGCAGTTTAAAAAATGATAGAAACAGTAGGAAAACATAAGGTTATAAGTAATGATGCTGCAAAAATTTGTGATTGGTCTGCTTGCTGGTTGAATCTCAGCCATTTGTAATGCTCACTGTTTTAAAGAGCCTGCAACAGTTGTTTACAAATTTGCAATTAATTCAAAACTGATCACACTGTCTGAGCATGCACAGAATTTATTTGAACAATGCTACCTCTGCACAGGTGCTGCACTGGTTGGATTAACTCTTTCCTTGCCTAATCAGGTGTTGCTCTCCCCCACCACCCTCGCTATCAATCTGGCCCTGCACATTTATAGTCATCCTATGGTCTCCTTAGAAGCTTTCCTAATTGTTGATGCCACAGTTCTGTCTCTAAAAAGTCACTATGTGATTCCAGACTACAGCTCCCAAGATGCTTTTTGAAATCAGACATCTGCAAAAGCTCATTTACATAAAACAAGAGTTTGCTTTGCTGGAGAACACTTGCCCAAGTGCACATGGGTGAGTTAGTTTCTGAGTAACACATTCACTCAGGATAGAGTAGCCCATCACTAGCATAAGAGGAAGTTAATGCTATCTGGACCCTCATCTCTGCTGTAAAATTTCATAAATAAGGCAAGCCAATTGCTCAATCAAGTGCCTGGAAACACTCTTGGACTCTCTCACCCTGTTGTGGGATAAAATCTGCAGGCCTCAATCAGCTGGGTTATGAAGTAAGGGCCTGTCCTTTCAGATCCCACAGAAGACCCTCACAGCAACCCTCTGGCCTGCTATAGACACATTAGAACTGAACAAGGTTACCTTGTGGTCCCCCATGCAGACATTTGGTCCAATATGGTCATATACCACTTGCTTTTCATCATTTTCTGACTAGGATAAAGAACATAAGACAGGTTGTTAAGTCAGCTCTTATATTCTCTGGAAAGCATTTCCACCACGATCAAATGCACAGGGATATAAGTGACACAGTGCTACAAGTGAGCATAACACCATGCTATTCATATATGGCAGTAAGATCCATTAAAACAAGTAGCGTTCACTGAGATTTAAATTTGTGATGCAGTTATTTGGCCTAAATATTTTTACTTTAGCTAGAAGAATGGGGTGACACTAGTTGAGTGAGTGCTTGATTCACACATTTGTAAAAGTTTTGCAAGACCTGCCTTTGGACATTAACTCACACTGCACTGCCCATCTAGGAATGTACGAACCACTGTTATGCTTAAGGCATGATTCTGTTCATACATAGCCAGAAGAAAAGCCTAACAATTCTGGTATTCCAGAGCCAGTATAGTTGGCTGGTCTGTGCTAGGAGATATAGGCCTTTTTCCTGTCTAAATATGCATAGAATGGCAACCATAGGCTACAATCTTATACCCACTTGCCTCAGACTATATCACACTGAACTTACTTGTAAGTAGACAGGTATAGGATTGTACAGTTAATGTAAACAAAATGGAGAAACTGTGTTTGAAAAAGTTTTCAAAAACAGACACCACTGTTCCATTTTTTCCGGTGGTAATTTTGTATATATGCATCTGGTCATGCCACTATCCAGCCAAATTCAAACCCATTCCAAACTGTTTCCAACAAATGAACTGAACATTTGTTTAACTCCTATTAAAAATGGCAGGACTTCAAAATACTTTACTTTGGTTGAATCATATCACAGACAGAAATACTCACACCAGCAAGGGTGGAATCATTTATATATCTTCTGTAAAATGTCAACTGATTGAAACCACTATTTAATTCATCAGCATGATTTTCACTGGCCAATTAATTAACCAATCAATTATAATTACACCAGTACCTAAGATAGATAATGCTGCCCTTATTAATAAAGGTGGGTTTCTTGGTAGCAGGAAGTCTAACTAAGGTTGCAGTCTTATATGCACTGCCTACTGTTGCACGAAGTGGGATTTACCTTACCCTGTCAGATCTTGCTGAAAGGTTACAGTCAAGGGGCGGCATAGAAATGTTATAATAATAATAATAATAATAATAATAATAATAATAATAATAATAAATAATACATACTTGGGGAGTGCATCCTATGGAATTAGCTGGTATTAATTTCTGGGTAGGTATGGACAGAATTATCGTTTTGAACCCACATGCTCTTGATTTAATTTATTTTTACTGGCTGTATATTTGTATTAATTTTTGTATTAATTATACAATTAATTATATTTGTATTAATTGTTTTTTATTTTAATGTTTGTAAGCCGTCCTGAGATGCCACGCATAGAGGACGGCATATAAAAGTTTTAAATAATAAATAAATAATATATTTTTGTGGTAGGGAATCCAGTGAATTCCATGCAACATTTTCAGGCCAGCTTGAGACAGTGGTGTTCCTAAAGAATGTTTAAGTTGACAGATATATTTTGGACTTTTTCAGTTGTGCTATTTATGCTGGAAATATTTGTCAGTCTTCACAGATTTTAAACTTGTATTTTAAAATCCACTAGTAAATGTCCCAATCGATTAGGCCCACTGATAAAGTGATTAATTCTTTCAACTCTAATCTTATTACCAGATTTAGTATCAACTCTGCTTAATACTAATTAGAGCAGGTTGTTGTACAAAAATGGAAACACTGTACAAGGAAAAATAGCTAGATGTTGTCATTTGAGGAAAAATGTTTTTTTTTCCTTCCTCCAGACATCCCAATTATAAACATATTTATTTGGGAGAAAGCCCTTTAATTTCAGTGAAGCTGGCTTCTACCAGATGTGCTCAGGACTGCAGCTTCAGAATGAAATCTGGAAACATTAAAATCAATTGAATGCTGCTATTGATTTAAATGGATTTTTGCACAGACACACACCTCAAAATGAGTACTGGGTGAATTATGTTTCCCCCCCCATAAAACTCTGCTCTGTTCTATGCTGGCACTTTATTCCCTTTTCTTCCCCTCATCTCTTCAAACAAGTAAGGAAATTGACATCCTATTGCATTTGTTTATCTAGCATAATGAACCCCTTAAACCAATCACTTAAAAGAAAGAGAGGGATTGTCTTGCAATTTCTCAGGCTGGTTAAACTGCAAGATAATTCAGTCTGGAACCCACACCCTACTCCCCACATCTTTCATACATATATACAGCACAAGACCACAGCTGTGCTTGCAAATAGTTTCCACCCTAATTTATTTCAGATGAAAAACAGTCAAGCTTCTCATCTTTAATCAAGTCAAGTTTGACTGGGTAGGAACTTTATATATAAACAATTGCAATTGGGACTATAAAGTTAAAAGGGATTGTCTTTAATACAGTGAGGAAGTGTAAGGTCATATTTGTTTTCTAGAGAAAGTGATTGCCTAGGAATCTACATCTATACATAGGTACAGACAAACCCCTATATAAGTGAAAAACCCTAACCTTCTGCATTGTATGCATGAACACTTTCCAATATTTCAAGCTCATAATGCCACTGCCATTGGAAGTGAAGATACATTCATCAAAAGCGACTTGATAATTTACAAAGGCAGCATCAAATTGTGGATTTTCAAGTGCATAATCTTTAGACAGATAAACAAATTACAGCAGCACATGAACAGAAACACGCTCCACTCAGCTGAGTATTCATTACGCCATGCTCTCAGGCAGTTCTGTGACTCCCAAGCAGCGGGCAACCTTTGGTGTGTTAGGGCTCAGCAAGCATAAAATAACATGCTGAGGAGGTAACCGACCATAGCATGATAAATGAGGTTGTGCTGAAGTTGTTTACAGCCCCATGCCTGTACAATCTGTAAGGCCTACTGTGTGGAGCCCAATGTCTTGTGCTGTCTGCTAATTTGGGGATTAGTAAAAGCTCTCCCCTTATTCTGCTGTGCTAAAATCTCTTTTTGAAAATATTACTTCTACCTCTGTTGTGCAGCACTTTTAAAAATTAACAAAATGCTTTCAATTTTATTTGTCCCCATAAATCACCTGGGACAAAGAAACTCTTCCATTTTACACATATGGAACTGAGACCAACAGACACTGATTTACCTTCAGGATTTTTTTGCAGAATGCTTTTAACAGCTGTCCATCTAACTTGCAGAAATTTAGCAAATGAAACTACCAACAAATATAGCAGTGGGGAGAAAGTTTATGATAAAGAGTTGCCTGGTGGTCTGGAGTTAAAGGCTCTAGGTGTCCGCATGATCAGTTCCCAGCATTGGAAAGCCACAGATTTGCCAGATTAGAGCTCCTTTGTTTTAAGATTAAACCTGCAATGGTAGCTAAACACAGACAAGGCTTAGTACCTTAGCTATACGTGGCTGCCAAATAAGTGATATGAAGGAAAACCCTAGAATTTTAAACCATTTGTAGATTTTGAATATGGGTTAGGTGGTTAGACAGAGGAACAATACTAAACATATAAGTCTGTGTTATTAAATTGACAGGACACAATTTGCAAAATGAACTTGTGAAGGACTTCATTGTGCATTTTCCTTTAACAAGAAAAAAGGTCAACATTATTTCCACTTTAGAAAAAAAGGAATTGACACTGGAAGAGAAAGAGCCAGTATACCTGACATAATACACAGGACTCCAAAATGTGTGCTGGTTGGTGTTTGCATATGCAAGTAATGGAGGGGCACTCTGGTGGCTTGTGTGGCACAAATCAGGGCACTGTGGGTTGTAGAGGGTAACAAAACTGAGCAGCTATGACGAAGACCATGGGTGCTGCACTGGGGCAGCCTATCCCAAACCATGGCTTTGTGACTGTGAGGGTTGCAGTAAAACTAAAGCTTAGGGTTAGGACATTTTGGACCCCTGTGAATATCCAGGGGCCTGGGAATTGCTGAGATGGGAGAAGCAAACATGAACGTCCAGAAGAAGAATATGTAAGATGCATATCTGCATTTGTATATTACCTGAAAGTACACTGTGGCAAATGGGGTGCACTCATTGGAGTGAAATTCTCCAGTGAAAAACTTAGGAGAAAAGAGCTACCAAAAAGATTGGGTACCTAAACTGACTGGTCATGAAGAAGGCTGGGGATGCTACATTTGGTGCCCTCTCTAAAACCATGGGAATTTTCTATGTCTGCTAGGATTAGGTGAAATTTTAGGTTTGGGTGTGGGATAGGAAATATGGGATACCAGCCCATGGCCAGAAGTCTGGATATTACCCAGATGAGGCAGGCAATTGAGTAGTATAAAAGAACAGCTTGAGAGTGGTATTCCTGCATGAATGGACAAGGATACTTGAATGGACAAGGATTCAAATATGGTAGAAGCATGAGGGTGAAATTCTAGGACTAGGTTGAGAAAATGGAAGAGCTCTTGGGGACCTGGAAAGGGATTAGGTTCTGCACTGAAGCTAAGCAGTTCCCAGGAAGAACATGGGTAGCAGCCCAGTAAAACAAATGGGAATTCTCTACAGCGGGTAGGGGTGAGTTGAAACTTTAAGGTAGGGGTAGGGTTGGAAAAAATGTGGATCCCCAAGATTGTCTAGGGGCTGGAGTGTTTCTGAGTTGAGACAGAGGAGGGGTTGAAAAGGACAACCAGAGACAGGAATTTCTGCATATGTTTGAAAAAAGAGGTGTTTTAAAAGAGCAGAATCATAGTAGTAAAAAATATCTTTGTAGCAAGAGTTTGGTTTCAGAGAACTGGATTCACTGTACAACACGTAATGCCTTGATTGGATTCAGCATCAAAGCTCTCACCAGGAAGATGGTGAGAGCAGCAATGTGGCACCCTGGTAAAATGCATGGGAATTCTCCATGGCTGCAAGGTGAAACTTCAGCTTAGGGTTACAGGTAGAAAGCCTTGAAAACCCAAACAGGGTCATAGGCCTGGTTATTTGCCACATGAGGCAGAGTAGTGAAGTGGTCCAAACAAATGACCAGAGAGGCATTTTTGCATCTATTTGAATTACTCTGGATTTAAGTAGGGTGGAATCAGTGGACTGAACATCTAGGGCATGGGTCCTCAAACTATGGCTGCGGGCTGGATCCAGCTCCCCATGCTCATTTATCTGGTCTGTCTCAGGTCTTGGACTTGCTCGGAGAAAATGATTTCCAAGCAAATCCAAAAGCTCTGAGCTGCCACAGGCGTGAAACTGAGCAGAGAGCTGGTGCAATAATGTGTCAATAACTGGCTTGATGGAAGTAGTTGCAATTCTCAGTGAGTTCTCAAGGTGCTCATCAGATGTTTTGCTTATAATTTTACTCTTAGTTGCTCACAAATGTAGGTGCTGCCAAAAAGTGAAGAGATGAATAAGGTGTAATTGTGAAGTGAGGGATATTTGTCTCTGAGAAGACAGGACTTGAATGTCAGATTGCAGCTCTATGCATTCCATTTGAAAATTGGCAGGTCGCATATTTATGTCAACTGAAAATGAAATTGCAAATATACCAAAACAGTGATTATTTTCTCAGAAATCTTGAAATCTGTTTTCAGTTTCTTGAATCAAATCAAAAAGCAAGGCTGTATATTTCTCACTGTTCACAGGACTGTGTTTAGCCAGCATGTTGAAATGTATAAAACTGTTTGCAACAGTAGGTTGAAATATTATTGATAATAGCTGCATTTCACCATGAGCATATGTAACATCTGGTGGTATCAATTCAGCTGTCTGTGCTTGGAACATAACACACTGGAAGCAGCACAACACCATAAAACTGAAGCCATACAGGTGTACAAATAGCATACATACGTTTATTTTACGTGACACTGGGACACAACATTGTCGCCTACAAAGTTCACACTTGGGAAGTGTGCCATCAAGTTACAAAAAAATGCAAAAAAGGCTCCATGTCGGTACAAATGATTGGATTGAAGGGTGTAGGTTTTGGAGTCCTTGTAGGAACCAACATGTTGGTGTGAGAACACAGACAAATCCTCTATATGTCCTCTATGATATAGCTGTGAGGTATACCTTGATGGATAAGGGTTCCAGGCCCCCTTGGTATAGAGAAAGAAGGAATTGTAAAATGTTCTCTATAGTTGCAGATTCAGGCAAGAAGTTGTTACTGGTCACAAAGTACGTAAAGTGTTTCCATTTCAAGCCATATGATCGAGTATTTGGGCATAGGGCTGAATGTAAAATGTATTGAATGTCCAGATGCAGGTACCGAACTTGACATTGGTACTGAGGTTATTATGGCTACCAAGGTCAGTGTATTAGCCATGCCATGAGTTTCAGCATGTGCAAGTCTGGGTGTCAAATCCTACCCTATTGCTGAGTGAGCAGGTATGGAATTTCCGGAAGATGAATATACATCCGTCAGGACAGCTGAAGGAGGGTTGGAAACCAGGTCTAGTCAGGCCACCACAGAGTGATCAGTATGCCAGTGATGTTGTCCCATGTGATCTTCACTAATGTCTTCATTATTAATGGTATTGGAGGAAAGGCATAAAATGGACCGCTGTTCCAAGAGATCATGAACGCATCACCTGCAGAGTTCTGTCCCATCCCTGCTCTGTGGCAGTAAGTATTGCACACTCTGTTTTGATGGGCTGCAAACAAGTGTATCAAGGGCATTCCCCACTGGTTGAAGAGATGGGGACAGATTTCTTGATTGAGTTCCCATTTGTGTGTCGTGGACATGTAACGGCTCAAGGAATCAGCTTCTTCCTTCTCGATGCAGGCCAAGTGAACTGCTTGTATGTCCATTCTATGGTTGATGCACCAGTTCCATAGACAAGAAGCCAGTTGTGCAAGGGGAACCAATCTTGTCTCCCCCTGTTTGTTCACATAAAACATGGTGGAGATGTTGTCTGTTGCTATCTGCATGGTCTTGCCCATCAAGATGGTTCTGAAGGAGCTGAGAGCTTTGAAGTATGCTAGTAATTCCAGGTAGTTAATGTGTCTCATTCTCTCATGACCATGCCAGATACCTTGAGTTTGGAAGGATGCACAGTGGGGCCCCCATCTGGTTTGAGATGTGTCCATGTACAACTGTGGTGGCGAACCAATGGCATGCGTGCCACAGTGGGCATGCAGAGCCCTTTCTGTCGGCACGCGAGGCAAGTCGCCCCAGCAGACAAGCATCGGAGAACAGTGCACACAGAGGCCATGCGCATGCTCGGAAAGGAGTAGTGGCACCTGGTGATGATGTCACAAGTTGCAGCTCATAACTGCGACTCGTCCAAGCTTTCACATGGCCGGTCAGTGCACTGCCAAGGTTAGTTGTTTTTTCTAAACAAAAACCTCAATTTTCAGGTTTTATTGCAGTGTTGGCACTTTGTGATAAATAAGTGTGTTTTGGGCTGCAGTTTGGGCACTCGGTCTCTAAAAGGTTCACCATCACTGGGTCAGGGTTAGAAAAATGAGGTGTATGATTTTGATGGTTGGAATGTGTTCAGAATGGGCAGAAATGATGAGCTGTGCAGAAAAAGCTACTCAAGGAAGGTTTTTTCAAAATCGTCCTATTTTCAATCGAACTTTACCCTTATAGTATGGTTAGGGGTCTTCAGCTGGGCAGGGTTAGGGTTACAAAAACGAGGTGTTTCGGCATGGTTTTGATCACTGGAATGTGTTTAGAATGGGCAGAAATGATGAGCTGTGCAGAAAAAGCTACTCAAGGAAGGCCTTTTCAAAATCACCCTCTTTTCTATGGTATTTTACCCCTGTATTAGGGTTAGGAGAGTGCACAAGGGTAGGGTTAGGGCAGTGGTGGTGAACCTATGGCATGCGTTCCACAGCAGGCATGCAGAGCCCTCTCTGTCGGCCCGCAAGCCAAGTTGCCCCAGCATTGCCCCAGCAGCCGAGCATCGGTTAACAATCTTCCATTCCCAACAATCTTATATTCATTGATTTAAACAAAAAAACCCTTAGCATTTAGAGGTAAGGGGTTGTTTCTATGTGCATAGATGTGCAAAGGAACAATGGGATTAAGATTTTTTTCTCAAATCCGGGTGTTTATAACATTTTGCTGCGAAGAAGAGTCATGTGATCTCTGCAAACACAAATTCACAGTTTTGAGAACTTTAAAACCAAGCAGCTATGATAGTATCCTAGACAGAAAAATTGTCCCATAATCTTAGAGAAACCTCTGGAAGAGCATGACATTGTGAATTAATCAATGAAATTCAGTTACCAACAAATTAAAACAGTGCATGAATATACAACCTCATGCTACATAATTAAAAACTAATCCTTATTTCATGATGAATAACCTTTGGATTATAGTGTATCTTAAATAGCTATCTAACTATCTTAACTATCTTTATATAGATAGTTAATTATATAGATAGTTAATCTTTATATAGATAGTTAAATCTATATAGATCTTTATATAGATTTTTCCTCAAAAAGTGTTTTTTTAAAAAAATCCAATTTAAATTAAAAAATTAAATTTAAATCCAATTTAAATTTTAAAATCTGATTTTTTAATTTTTTTTAAAATGTTGATTTTTATCCACCCTGTATAAAACAGAAATCAACCCATAATTCTATTTGCAAGTTCTAGACATCTCAATGAGGAAATAGCATTCATCATCTTTAGTTGTCATGAATATAATATCATTGTCATTGCATTCATTATCCAGATTGCATCCTTCCTCATTCTTCTGCACTGAGCAATAGAAGCTCTGCCTTCTTTCTCTAAAACAAACAAACAAAATTTGGCAAAAACTGGGAAGAAAAAGAGAAAATTATGTTGAAGAAAAATGGGTTTCAAAGGGCTCCGTCTTTCTATATCTTAAAAGGCCACATGCCAGGCTTACACAGATACAGGGAACTAAAGCCACACTATGTGGGGTGCTGCCCAGGATCTGTTCTTGTGGGAGCAATTCAAGTGCACGTCCAATCATACACGCAGACAGTTCCCATGTAGGCAAACCCTTCTAATTTGGTAGGATCAAACCTTCACGCGCGCACACACACACACACACACACACACTTTTTGTCCCCTCCTTATAGGAGGGAAGGTTAACAAAAGGAGAAATTTCTCCATTGACATCAATGGAGGTATTTTAGCTTTTGCTAAAGAATTGAGGCCTTTGAACTATTGGTGCTGGAGAAGACTCCTGCGAGTCCCTTGGACCGCAAGGAGATCAAACCAGTCAGTCTTAGAGGAGATCAACCCTGACTGCTCTTTAGAAGGCCAGATACTGAAGATGAAACTCACATACTTTGGCCACCTAATGAGAAGGAAGGACTCACTGGAGAAGAGCCTAATGCTGGGAACAATTGATGACAAGAGAAGAAGGGGATGGCAGAGGATGAGGTGACTAGATGGAGTCACTGAAGCAGTCGGTGTGAGCTTAAGTGGACTGGGGGATGGTGGAGGACAGGAAGGCCTTGAGGAGTGTTGTTCATGGGATCGTGAAGGGTTGGACATGACTTCGCAACTAGCAACAACAATAACAACAAACCGTAATTCAGGACCAAGGTCAGTTGCAACAAGAACATGTATAAATGAAGGTTGGTCTAAAAAGAAGGAAGAAGAAGGGGAAGAAGAAAAGAAAACCAAGTATGTTAATAAACTAAAAGGCATACCATATAAGTAGAGGGAGCACAAGACGGTGCTTATAACACACTGTGAGCTTGTGAGGACTAGAAACTTGCTCTTAAAATAATAAACCATTTGCCATCCCTCTAGCAGTTTCAAGGCAATTCTCATAAGCTAAAGAAATGAAGTTCCATGCCAATTCTTACCTTTAAAATCAACTCTTTGGCAGAATGTGACATAAGGATCCTGTCGCACCAAGCTGGACATCTAGTGTTCATATACTGCATTCCCTGGCTACAGTCTTCACTATATGGATAGCTGGAAGAGGGGGGAAATGAAAGTGAATGCAACATCTGTTAGAGTGCACACAAATTTTTGCAAGGCAAATTTATCTGTCATTTGTTTTGTTGCAAGTTTTGTGTTTTAAAAGTATTTTAAGTCTTCAGGTAGTTTATTGAACTCTTTCAGGAATGTATTAAAGTCCTTCATCCTAATTTCATGAGAAGCACAACCCAGGATGAGGTCTCTTGACTATCGAGATACACAAGGGTGTAAGCATGCATTGCACACCCATAATACATATTTCATAAGTGGGAAAGGATAGAGTTACATGCAAAGGAGGCTGCAGCTAGGTTGGGACCACACATTTGCCTTTTCTTCTTGTAGTGCTGATACACAACTGGAAGAGGCTATTGTGTGGGTGGGAGAGAGAACTGGAAGAGGGGAGATGGGAAAGTCTAAGAACACGAGGAGTGCTTGGGAGAGGAAAGAGGCCCATGCAAAGAATGTATTACCTCACAGCTGTTCCATACCTGTGCAAATTGCTAGAGCTGTTTTTGCCATGGGGGGCACTTTGCAAGATGTCCTCCAGTGATCTAGCTTATTAGGAACATTATCTGAGGTACTGACAGTTCTTACCCCCAATCCCATTCACTGAACAGGTAACTTTTTTTGGTAACTTTAATTGTTATCTCCATAAAGACTTGATTAATAAAGTGATCTACAGATGATTTTGTATCCTTGAAAACCTGATTGCAATGTTCTTTTATTTATTTCTGGTACTGGTGAGCTTGCCACATAAACTATTGATACAGTTTTACTAAGAACATTAAGGAGACGTTTAATATTTGGGTACATATTAGGATATGTAGCCTAATATTAAAATATTATCCAACTAAATATAATCTTTGTTTTCTTTAGTTTTAACAGATATAGCCGACCCATGTAATTGAACTTTGCCCTCTGCAAATTGATACATTTTACTGTGAGGGCCATTGAATGGATCAATACAGTGAATTGATAAAGCAACATTTAGGATGCAGTGGGCCAAACAACCAAAACAGAAGGCTGGAGGCATAGTGAGTTGTATCGAACATATTGTCCTTTTCTGCACCCTTGAACAGTTCACTGCACATATTCAAGCCACTGTGAGTGGTAGTTCATGCTGGCAACTAGTTTGAATGTTTAGTGCCCACTTGCAGCTTACTACATTGTGTGAACCTGGGAAAAAGAAGGTTAGCAAGGCTTGCACAGCCAAACAACAGACCATAACCCAAGGTTACCAGGTCTGTACAATGCAAACGGCTGTGGCTTGGCACTGCTTATTCAACCTGACTGCCCATTAATGCTGTCACAGACAGCACTGTGGCTGTGCCAGTTCTTGAAAACTCCTGTATGTTTTTAAACACATTGGCAGGACAAGTATGCAAGTATGCATCTCCCTCTCTACACACCCACTCATATAGAAATGTTCTAATAAAATAAATAAATAAATAGTATAGTATTTATGAGTACATAGTATATATATATATATAGTATACTGTATATTAATATTCCTCAACAAAGGGTTTATAAAAGAGGGAATAGCAAATTTAGCAAGTTCACACAATATTTGTTTTAAAAGTTTTAAACTTTCCTCTTCTTTACTCTAGGAAGCAAAATTGATTTCATATTAAAGTAGTAAAGTTGGAGCATTCATACTCAATGTATTTTGTAAAAGTTCACATCCCTCTCTCTGTGTGCATGAACACGCACTCCCCCCCCCACCTTATATGCTCTTTACTTACAAGATAGCTATAAATTCAAATGGAACTAGACATACAGACATGTTGTGGTTTAAACAACCTTAGTAATTATGACATTGATTTAAAGAGTTTGAAATTTGAGACAAAATGATATTTCACTGGAGAAGGACCAAATAAAAAGTCATTGTAATTTATGAAAAACAATAAAAACCCAGCAAGATTTTGTTCCATCTGTCCTTTATTTGGTTCTAGAAAGCCCATGTCTTACAATGAACATATTGCAATTTGAATGGATGTGACAGTTTAAAAGGAATTGCCTCATCTAGTAAAAGGATTTTTTCATTCTGCGTCACACACTACACAACTTTTGTTTGTCACCAAGTGCATACTTAGTAGCTTCTTAACAAACTTACCTACATTATACAGTGTTACTTGCATTCACACATAATATTTTTAGGTGTACATATAATCTGTTAGAGACAGTTGTTGTCCCTTTAAAAATAGAAAGTACATCTGCATACATTTCTTATTGGATCACCTTATTTAATACAGCATATCCAGTTACTGTAATAGATTTCCACATCTCCAGTTCATGCTAGTTTCTTCTGCATCAATGGAGATAAGAACAATTCTGAGGCCTGCCTGTTATTCATTTGTTTTTCTGGCAGGATTAACTGTATGAAAGAATGAAGCTTGCATCATTCAAACTTGCTGTTTTTATTAATTTTGTTCAGCACTAAAAATTTAGAATTTCTTCCAAAATTGTTTCTTCTCATGCAGGGCTAAATTATGAAAGCCCATAACTCTATATTATCTCTGATTCATATAGGATGCCTCTTTACAATCATATTAAGACAGAGAAAAGGCCTACAAGTCCCTGCATGCCCCAGTCAGCTGGGATTTGTTGGCCTTTTCTCTTTCTAAATGCACATATAATTGCATCCTTACTGGTTTTGTATTGTTCTCATTGGATTCAGTAGACATTATATTCCAAATACAGATAGCAAGAGAAGTTAACACAGAGAATTCCTAGCTAACAAAACTATAGACAAAGCTCCAGTTTCACTGGGGCTGTAATCTACATACAGATTGGAACATACAAGGACAGTATTCTCTTGAAAACTGTCAGTAGCTATTTGATAGGTTTCAAGCAACTATTCCATATTTTCCTGAGGGTTAAATTACATTCTGTATACAAATGCATGTGAATGTAGCTTGGTAACACTTTTTCTGTTTAAAATATTGCTCCAGGAGAAGATGACTGGGAGCAAAAAGAATTAGGACAATGAAGGGTAATGAGGGAAATTGCTTAATGCCTTTTCTCTTCCCACTGTCCTGTATCCTGCTCCAACTACTATCACCCCAAAGTTTCCCATGCTCATTTGGAACTGCATGGCTGTGATGGGCTTGCCAACCTGGCACTGATGTGAACAGGGGAAAGTATAGGAAGAGAAACAGTTAAGTTCCTCACCCCACACACCCTTCTTTTCTTCCCAACAGTCCTATTCCAAAGGTGCTTTTCATTTTCTTCTGAAGCTACAAAAGCAATGGCTTGTACTGGTAAAGCAAATTTGGGCCAAATCCATGCATGCACAAAAAGTAAATCTGACCAAATAGCTGGAGAATTTGTAAAGCAATCCAGAGAGATAGCCGAGTTAGGATATTCCCCCAACTTAAAAATGCATCCCCCCCACCCCCCGGCAACATTCTATCCAAAGTGTTTTGAATTGGGATTTAAACTGCTGCTGATTTTAGTTTCTTTAGTTGATTTTTTTTTTGGTATTCTTAAAATTGGTTCATGATTTTGATTATCTTTTGCAAGCCAGCTTGGAAGGGTTTTGCCTGAGGTAGCATAAATACTTTAAATGAAAAAATTGTGGGCTTTCAGATAGGGAATGCTATTTTATTATTTGTTATTTAGTGCTTGCAGGTAAATTTGTGTGAAAAGAACGAACTCTGGAGGGATTCCTTGTGAAAAACAGATGTGTGTGTGTGTGTGTGTATAAGTGTTGAAATCTATTCTGCTTATTGGTGAATTGGGAAAAGAATTACTGAGGCTTTCAAAATGAAGGTTTTAAAATAAGATTTGTGGGATTGAAACAAAATGCCTTCATGCTTGAAGAGAAACTTATTTACCACCCTACTTGGTGTGATATAATAAAACTGAGATGCATAGCTCTCTACCAAATCGGTTTACAAACTACACTGCCATTAGAAAGATTAGCCATGGCAAACAGCCAACTAAAGCGTACTGAACGTATTGGAACAAACCAGTGAACTCAGTACCTTTTCCACCTCATCAAACCTAACAAGACTCATTTTCAAAACATATTATGAGAATTCAATTTGCTGCTTCACTGCCATACAGCTTATTTCTGACTGTCCATGGGAGGCTTTGATGATGTAATATTCTAGCTAGCAGAATCTCTTTGTCTACAATTTAAGGGTTGACTTTTGTAGGCAGCCTATTAATGTAGCTCCTCCTTTAAGTTGTGCATGAACCTAACATAACAAAGATTACCCTTTTATTATAGAAAGTGTACAAATCCATCACATTCAGTATTGCTCACTCCTTTCACAGCATTAATGGTCTTGGTTTCCCCATGTTATGCTCTATGCCGAGCACACATAGCTAACAATGAGACCAGAAATTTCTCATATATATCCTGCAAATTGATATTTGTAAGTTTCCTTTAATGAGCTCATTGCCTCTTCTCAGAAAAATGATCAGAATAAGAAATAGACTTAATTCTATTATTGATAGTAAATTTAGCAAGTCCAACTTGAACATAACCAGCCGAAGCCCAAAGTTGTAACATCCTATGAAACTGGGACTATCCTGGAACAGATCAAAGATTCCTAAGGCTTGGCAGACAATCTTCATATAGAAACAGAAACAGAGCAAGTCAGCAGGAGCCTCCTGGGCCATTTAGTCTGATTCCTGGATCCAGCCAGCTTCACTCATGACATGCCTACTATATGCAGGTCCAGCCTATCCTTGAACACCCTCACTGATGGGGCTTCAACCACCTCCCATGGAAGCCCATTCCATACCCTTGGGGTCCAAACTGTCAGGAAGTACTTCCTTGCATCCAAATTGAACCTTGGTTCCCTGAGCTTTGCTCCAATGGAACATGTCCTGGCCTCCTCTTCAGAGGAAAACAGGTCTCTACCCACCTCCATGTGACACGCTCTCACATACCTATATGTCATCAGCAGATCCCCTTGGAGTCTCCTCTTCTCCAGGCTGAAAAAACCCAGTTCCCTCAGTCTTGCCTCATACGGCTTTCCCTG